CCCCCCCCCCCCCCCCTTCTTGGCAGACTTACCAAAATTTTCTTTAAAAAAAAGAAACTTGGGCAAAAAAAAGTTCAAAAGTAGGGGCGGGTTTTGTCCCTACCATTTTCTTGAATTTTCCCCCGGGGTGTATTGGGGGCAGGCGCGGACATTGTTGGGTTATTTTTTATTTGCCTTAAAAGGAGAGCAGGGCATGGTTTTTTTAAGGGGGTACATGTTTTGGGGATTGTTTGGTTTTGTTTTTGGGTTCGGTTGACCAAATGTTTTTAAGGGAGGTTTTTGGTTTTTTTTTTTGACCCAGGGGGGCCAAGATTCCCCCCCCTTTTTGAACGTTGGGGAGCAGAGAACGTTGGAGGAGGTTTTCAAAGGTTTCCGGAAACCCAACCCCCGGGGGAAATTGGGGGGGAAACAGGGAAAAGAGGGTGTTTTTGTTGGGTTGGTTGTTTTGAAGTTGATGTTGGGGGTCCGGGCCGTTCAGGGAAAGCGGAGGGGAGGGAGACCCCCCCCCAGCCAGGGAGGGGGGGGGGTGTGGGGGGGGGGAGACAGAGAGAGAAAGAGAGGACACAGAGAGAGACAGAGGGAGACAGAGAGACACAGAGAGACAGAGAGAGAGGCAGAGAGAGACAGGGAGAGAGAGGGAGGGGTACAGAGAGGGCTGTCGGCAGGCAGACGCATCATTGTCAGTGTATCGCGTACTGGAACGTATCTGGCAACCCCCCCTCTCTAAACTCACCCGCGTTTATTTGTTTCACGCACCCGCTTTCTTCAATCTATTTTCGTGCTCTTATGTCAAGTCAAGTCAGTTCTTTGTGTCTCACGAAAAAAAATTTCTTCACTTTACGTTTTTTTTCAGGTTCCGATCCCCGAATCCTGGCGGCAGCTCCTCCTGCTGGGCATTTCCACTCACCACGCAGGTACACGGTGCCTCCCCCCCCTCCCCCTCCAGCTACGATTTCGGGGCGTACGCTCTACGTTGCCTCCGTAGATAACTCCCCCCCCCAAGCCGTGCTGAAAGCAAGCGATTTGAGACACCCGGTTTCGACTCACTGACAACGGTACCGAGTCGAGGAGCAGTGTTCCGTTGGAATTGGACACCATGGGACGTTCCAGGTAGTGGGGCACGACCCTATAGTAGCGCCTCCCCCTATCGAGCTCCGCACTATTTTTTTGCGCGACTTGGTGTTACGTATCGTGCATGCACTGTCTATATAGTTTCAATTGTATACCGCCACTGATTGTGTGACCTGGCGCCTTGTCTTGGCCGTATTTCTTGCTGCCACTGATTGTGTGACCTGGCGGTGTAAACACCCTTGTCTTTAGCCGTATTTCTTGCTGCTCCTGTGTGGTGTGCCACGAGACAGGTCTGCTTCCGGTGTTTAAGTCTTTCGTCGAGGAGCTCTTCGCCGAAGCACTTGTGAAGGTGACAACTAGTGGTGAATCCACGGACCCCCCCCCCTTTGTGATCACCCCTCTCGTTTTGGTGCGGTGTGGCGTAGTGATGTTCTCGGCGTTTTTGGTGGCCTGGCGTTTAGCTCGGTGACTTCGTGTTACGCGTTCGCCTACGGAGTGTCTTGAGAGTTTAAGTCGGCGAGGATGCCCTCAATTCAGGCGAGGGTGCCGTACGGTGCCGCAAAAGTCCCCCTCCCTGAGACGTGGAGGAACCGTTTGGCTGAATACTTGACAAAGGTTTCCATTTCCTTTTCGCCCTTTTCTGAGAAAACATACACAGAGTGTTTCCCCTTGTTTATGACCATCCTTTCCACGTTGACCTGCCTTTTTTTTCGAGTGAAAACGAGTTGAGACGGTTATTGGATACAGTCCTGTTCCTGCGCCACCCGCTTTTTCTCTTAGCCGGAAAGCTCCCCATCCATGTGGGCGCGACCATCGTGTGCACTTCGCAATGTCAACCGTGGATGTCATAACGCAAGCGATTACTGCCGGAGCGGTCAGGCACTCTTCAAAGGTTACGTTGTCGCCTTACTAAAATATGTTGCGCGTTCAATTTGTTCGTGCTTCGGAACTAACTACTATTTATTTTCGTCCTGGGGTTACTTAGGTGGTGTTTGCGACGGAGACGCTGGCCGCCGGCGTCAACATGCCCGCAAGGGCCACCGTCATAACGACCCTCTCCAAACGCATCGACACGGGTATCGTGAAGCTCAACCCCTCCCAGCTGCTGCAGATGGGCGGCCGGTACGCACCGAACGCATTCGTCTTTTAGAACTCTTGAATGTCTCTATACGCCAATCGAGGCTCAAGCGACAGATTCTCAAGCAGCACCCATCTCTTAACAGCTATTGTACCGTATACGACGCAAGATAACGCACCCCCTGGACCGATTTTCAAAGCTCGATTTGTCAACAGCAGAAAGAGTCGAAGCGCCGAAAACGGCGGCGTTGAAGCCGTCTCTCCGAATACGTATCGTTTCGTTCATGCATCCTCTTCGCCGTGGCGTAATCGAGCTTTCAAACTTGGTCCAGGGGGTGTGTTATCTTGCGTCGTATACGGTGGGTGGGCGAGCTTCTTGGCACGTACGTTGGCGGGGAATGTTTTTCGAAGGGACCGAGTAAGAGTAAAATTCTACGTTGCTATGGCGGAATATCGCCTCAATTCGATTTCCGTCTCAGGCGGTTGTTGGTGTTGTGCGGGGCCTTTCGTTGCGAAGTCGGAAACCTTGTCCTTGAGGATGCGTTTGGTAGAAAAGGCGCGGGTGCAGGTTGAACACTCACAGCCGTGTTGGCAGGACTTGAGGGGGGGACAACAACTGCAATGGAAACCGTCAATGTCAAACGCCAACACCATCAACGACATGTCGAAAAAATGGGACTGAAACAAACGTACCGCCTGAACAACACCAAAGGCAGCGAATATTTAACAGCAAACATATCATACAACGAACGTCAGGCAACGAGCAATCAGCTCACACCAAACAACAAACAAACTATGACAACGTCAATGAGAAACGAGTAACAAGGACAACATCAACACTTGGACTGCAATGCAATGCAGGGCTGGGCGAAGGGGGAAAGACTCTTCCGGGTCGGTGGTGCTCATGCGCTCTCGCTTCGAGGACTGCATCGAGGCGCACCGCCTGCTGTTGTCGCCCATGGACGGCATCGAGTCCCAATTCAAGTGAGAAGTGAGGGTCGTCTTGTGGTTGTGATGGTGGAACGGCACGCGATTGTTCATGGAGGTGCCGCCTCAGGTGATTATTTTCGAGAGCACGGGTCTCTGTGAGACGGCTGCTGTCACCGATGAACTCCCTCCTCGATAATCCAGGGGGGGGGGGGGGGGGGTTCTTTTACTGCCACTCTCGCTGCAAACAAGCAGTGATATACCCTAATGGCAACGTCATCATGTCACCCGAGCTGCTATGTTGTTCCCCTGAAATGCTGATGTTCTCAAATAAGGCAGGGGGAGCGTCCGTTGGGGGCAGTTTTCTGTCTTCCTTGAGCCACAGGTTATGCGGCCTTGATAAGGGAGCTCTACTACTGTTTCGGCGTCCTGATCGCCTTGCCGACCCCGCCCCTCTCCGTTTGTTGCCACAATGTGCCGTTGTTGGGCTGAGCCGCTATCGTGATTGCGGTCCAGTTCGCCGTTTCCCTCGCCCATCTCGTTTGCCATTACCTATAGCCGTCATCTTCGTCGCCTTCCCTCCGTTTCTAGGCCTCAAAGGTGGTGTCCTTGTTGCTCTGCCCTTTTTGCGCTGATGTTGCGTTCCAACGTCGGTTAGGTCGAGCTACGGGATGGCTGTCGGTGTGCTCCGTACTCGGGACATGGCTTCTGCCAGGGTGCTGGTGGAGAAGAGCTTCGGGAACTTCGTGCGGCGGAAGAGGGTCGGCCCTGCTCAGGTAGCTAGCTATTTAGCGTTAGTGGCTTGTGTTCGTGGTGCCATCTCGCCCTGAAGCCTTCGTCGCGGGTCTATCATAGCTTTGGGTGTTTGTTTGGCCGTTGTCATGCACCAAGGATGCTGTTGCCGTTGTTGTTTTTTTTGTTGTTTCGTTGCTTGCTGCTCCTTGTTGGTTGTTATTTTTTTGTTTGATGTCGTCGTTGTTGTCATCGTCGTCGTCGTTGCTGCTGCTCTTTTTGGCTCCTCTCATTTTTCGTCTCAGGTACAGCTCATTGATTTTGGTCCGTGTTATCCCCTCCCTCCCCGTTTTCTTGACACCAATAGTCTCGAGCTTCTGAGGCCCAGGAAAAGCTGGACGAGCTAAAGGACCAACTCCAGGGGACCACACTGGCGGAGGTACACGACAACAACGTTGCTTTTTTCTGCGCTGACGTAGACGGTCGCACTCACGCGCACGGTTGATACCACGGGGTTCAGTGATTGCCTGCCCTGTAGTATTTCAGGGTTGTTTGATTGTGCGATCAGATGGAAGAAATATCGAAACGAAAGATTGCGCGGGGCCTTGATTTCGAGGACTTTGCGGAGTCAGGCGGCCCAATTTGTACCGTTGAGGTGACCTGCAAGGCTTGTTCATCTCCGACCCGTGTCCACAGGCCAAGTTCTACCGCAAGCTGTGGGAGAGGATGGAGTCGGAGAAGGGGATCCTGGCTTATCTCCAGGCACAGGTATGGTGCACGACGACGTAGTGACCCCCACCCCAAGTTCTCCAGCGGTTATGTATTTATTGACGAAGACGTAGAAGCACCCCCCCCCGGGTCATCCCAGTACTATCGCCTGCTTCTCACAAGCTTGCACGTGCTTTGCTCTCTTTGTAGTATTATTATAGTTCCGCGTCTCTGTCTCCTTCCGTCACTACACCCATTTGGCTCCTTTCCACCTCCCGAAGCCGAGACCGGCCCCACCACACAACCTCGATCAACGTGCGTTATTATCTTCTTCTTTTTTTCTCTTTGTTTCTCAGGATCTGGAGGCGGAGCAAGAGGTCGTGGAGACCATCTTGCCGCTGGCCCGCCTAGGCTCCGCCATCACCCTCGCGGACGGGCGAACCTCTGCACTGCTCGGGGAGATGGCGCCCGTCGGCGCGACCGCGCAGCTCCTGGACCGCCAGAGGTGACGATCGTCGTCAACATAGATTGATTGGCGGTTTCAGGGTTTGCGTGTTGGCGAACTGGCTGATGCTGCACGCCAGCGTTAGGTTGCGATGGTGTAGTTGTGCAGGCGTTGATCGAGTTTGCCGGCTGTGGTGACCACGAAGCGAACGGCTATGTTTTCTGGACCGTTGAGAACCCAGATCTCTCCTGTTGAGGGTGCATCGCATGGAAAAGTTCTACGGTTGCTTTCCTCTGTCACGTATCTCGCACAGAAATTGCTTGGTTGGTTGCTGCTGTTGGCTTTTTCGTCTGTTCTTGTGCGGTAGCACGTTCGTCGCGGTACCCAAGGCAGGAAGTAGTTCGATTTATGGCACGTAGGATACCACCCTCCCTGGACCAACTTTTCACTTCTCCACGAAGAGGGTGCCAAGTGCCAATTTCGAGTTATACGTTTCCGGCAAGCTCTCGACACGACGGTTTCAACGCCACCGTTTTGGGCAGCGCCGCCGTTTCCGCGGCAGAGAAATCGAACTTCAAAAATCAGTCCATTGGGTGTGGTATCTTTTTGCTACCCAAGGCATCAAGACGGCAAGGAGTGCGCAAAGATATCGCCTCTTTCTCGCTCCTTCCTCCTGTTTGTTCCGTTTTTTTAGATAATAAGAAGTGGCGTCGTTTTTCTCGCTCTGGTGTCATGTGTTGACCGGGGCGCGCTCTTCGTTTTGCCATCCCCCCCTTTTTGTTGTTCCATTTTTTTTTTTTCGCACTTTTCGCTCTGTGTTTGCAGTAGCGATGGAGGCGTCTCCGAGGGGGGGGCTGGCGGGGAGCGTTGCTCTTCGGCGGGGCGGTACCTGATACTGGACCGTTCCGGGAACGTGGAAGCGGTTCTTCCGTCCCAGGTACAGTACGGTAGCATTGGCGGTGCGGCAGTAGCGGTCCGTGTATGAGGCCGCACATATGTTGGTTCGTTTCATCCTGCTGATGAGGCAGATGTGGTTAAGGTGCGTTTTCAGTCCTCGACTCTTGCAATTGTATCGGCCACCCCCTTTCGTTTTTTTTTTCTGCAGATTAGGCAGACTTAGTACTGGTTGTCACAAACCTACGTTCCACCCTGTTTCGTTTTTTCGCGTCAAGATGAGGCAGATATCAGAGCCGTTTTTTGTCCTTACCTCTGTCAATCCTACCTGCCACCCCGTCATTTTTCTCTTGTGCACATGAGGTACATGTAAGAGCGATTTGTAGTCCCTAGCTGTGGCAATCGTTTGCCAGCCACCCCCTTCCATTTTTTTCCGTGCAGATGAGGAAGATCTAGGAGGTTTGCACAGTCTCTAACTCTAGCAATTCCACCTGCCACCCCCGTATGTATTTTTCCAACAGATGAGGCAGATGTTGTTAGTTCTCAACTCTGGCAATCCTACCTGCCACCCCCTGTCGCGATTTTCTCCTGCAGATGAGGCAGATCGACTGCGGGCACGAGGCGGGAATCAGCGCGACACTGGCCGCAGAACTAGCCACCATGGTCTCTCCCAGGTCGGCATGGTCCTGTTCCACCAACAAAGAAGAATCGCAAGGGCAAGCTCAAGCCGCAGCGCCGCCGGCTAGGGCAGGATTGGTGGCTGTTTTGGAGGACCGCTTCCCCCGAGAGCCTCCGGGTACGTGTGTACCCCCCCCCCCCGCCTGCCCTTGCCCCCTTGTTGCCGAGTGGGCATGTTTTTATGTTTTTGAAGAGGTGCCAATCAATTTACAGTCGTACCCACCCCTTTTGCCTGCCCAAGGCTATGACACCGGGCCTGTTTATTTCTACACGAGTTTCCATGTCTCATGCCATCTCGGCCCCTCGTCCACGCGCCGTGCCGAGCAGCATTGGCAGAGGAGGGTTTGCCTGCGAACGGCCAGGCGATCTCCCTGATTCCGTCCGAGGAGGAGACGAAGGGGTGGGACGCAAGCGCGCTCGTCAACGCCGGGTTGTGCATTTTGGAGGATGAGGAGGGGACAGCTACCCGTGTCCCCGGCCACATCCAGAGACAGCTCTCGGTGAGCAACAAAAATAATGCAGTCGTTTAGTGCAGGTTGAATAGTGCCAGGTGCCCGGTGTGGTGCCGGTAAAATCTCTGGACACAGGCGGAGCTCTTAATGGTGCCAGACCGGCACTATTGAGAGCTTGCCCGGAATAGTGCCGGTTGGGCGCCGTTGTAACCCCCAATAGTGCCGCTTCACCCTCGCGCGCACACACACACGAGCACACGAGCCGGTTAGCGCGGTCGATGGTAATAAATACGCACACACACAAACACACACGACGAAACAGCCTTGCTTCACCTGAAGGCTTATGATACCAACAGGATTCGGAGACGGTTTACCTTCGAGCTGGCTCGTTCTCGTGATGTTTTCAAACGTCATGGACTTCTGATCGATAGTATTTCCACCACGGCTTTTAGTAGCTACAGTGCAGATAGGACGATGATGATGGCAATGGGGAATTCATTTGGTAGATGAAGGAGGAGGAGATGGAACGGGAGGATAAGAGAACGACCAAGACAGCAATTGAGGAGGGAATCATGGGCGTGGAACAGAGCGAGAGCTTCGAGCCAGATGACCTTCCCCACAACAAACGGTGCAGGGCTAGAGAAGAACTGCCGAGAAAAAGCTGTAAAATAATGACGATGAGAGTGATGGTAGTGAAAGCAAGGAGGATGATGATGAAAGCACTCCAAAACGAACTCGAGTGCAAGGTAGCAGCCTTGGTAGACACGTGCAGTGTTCTTCTGTTGCTACCGTTTCTGTCTTTAATCCGGGGAATATCTTGGCCTCCCCCATGCCGCCACCTCACGGGGTCCCAGTTAAAGTCATTTAGAAGTGTTTTGTGTTGTGAACCGCACTGAGACTGACTTCTTTTCATTGGTCAGCCTGTGAACGCGGTCGATGCTGGTTGAAAACACACACACACACACAACCAGGTAGAAGACAGACTCCACACAGAGAAGTAGGGTACACGTGCTGCTGCAGAACCGAAAAGCTCTGTACGAACTGGAGGTTTTCAAGCAGTTTTTGACGTCACCGATTAATTGGGTGCATGACTCGTGTCTTCCTTTCGCCGTCGACTAGTGCTCGTGAGGTAATACAGCTTGTAGCCCGAAATGCAACTAGTAATATTGTCAACAAACTCTTGTGGGTTCGACAGGTTGGAGAAAGTCTACCCACACCCACGTTGGAACTTCACGAAATATGTCGATCCATTTCGTACTCTGTTGGCCCCGCAAGCATGAGCGCCACACCATAAATCAAACACGTCCTCAGTAGTGCCAGACCGGCACTAATGAGGGATTGGGCAGCCCTCAACAGGGCCGTTTTGGCACATTTCGCAGTAGTGCCGGGTGCCCGGTTTGGTGCCGGTGCAACGTTCCGTGCACGCACTGGCACTATACAGATCCCTCGACTGTATCCGTTTGAAACGAAAGTTAAGGCTTGGGACAAGACAGGTTAAAGCAGGCGTGTGCCTGCCAGAAACAGCTCTGGGAGAGGCAAATACCACAATGTCCGTTCGAAAAGTCAGATTGGGATTTGGGACAAATAAAAAAAAAGAGTACAGCAAGTCGTGCGGTTGGATACTCCATGTTTCCTAGCTGCAGTGGAGAGGTGGGTCGGGACTGTAGGGAGAATCGGTGGTGAGCTGATGGGATCACCGGCTTGAGGCGAGGAGTGATTCCGTACGGCGGGCAACGGGGTGACAGCGGGGGAGTTACGCTCAGAGGTAGATAGATCCGGGGCAAGAAGTTTGGTTCATTGGAATTGCTGGCGTTACGGTGCATGCTCCTGTGGGACGACCGGATCTTGCAGTTTATATGCAGAAGCGGAATGCTAGATGAAGTAGCTTCTGCGGTAGCTTTTTGCTCGATGTTTCAGGCGAAAGTCTTCCAGAATCCGGCCATCATCTGTCGTCCATATTGTTCCGAGGAAGTGGTAACATCGATCGGTGCCTGTCACCTTTCCGTGTGCTGGATTCAATGCTGCTGCTGCTGCTGCTGCTGCTACGGCCGTTGCTGCTGCCGATCCATTTCCTTGGCGTTGTTGTGGCTTGCTTGGCGGTCATCCTATCCGAATATCGTTTTGGGTGCCCCCTACACCACTTGCCAGTCATGCACCACGCCAGGTTATGAATCGTACCCCCACGTAGCTGCGGGGTACCCTAGTTTCCCCGTGCGTTCGCGCTGATCCTGCGATACGGAACGCGTTCTTGCTGCCTCGAACGCTTTGACGGCGGTGACTCCGCCAGGTGATGAGTCGTGTGGCGGAGCAGATGGAGAACCACCCGGTGCATCAGGTGGAGGACCCAGAGTCCGTGGCCAGACTCAGCAAGGAGATCATATCTTTGGAGGAGCAGGTGCGTTTTTAATTTCGGCATGCCGTCGGTCGATGGCCTTACGTGCAGCCGTGATTTTTCTTCGCGTTTGCGTATTTTTTTTCTTTTTTTCTTTGTGTTATGTTTTTTTCGGCAAGCTCTCGATGCTGGCTCGCGTGCTCGTGTATTCGTAAGCAGGGACCACGCGAACAGGAATTTTTCTGCCCAGGTTGGTTCAGGTCGTTGTCGGTGTCACAGCTGACGGATGCTATCGCTAGGGGAGTTGCTGCCAAGACTATGCAATCGGGCGGTCGTGCACGATATGGGGCGTGCTCGCCGGTGGATAATTTTGAACAATTTCTCAGGAGAGTAGCGAAGTGTGCCCTCCCTTCCCTCCACCAACAAGGAGGAGCCGATGTGAGCCCATGTTGAAGCCCATCTGCAGAAACCGCTCGGGCGCCCCCCCCTTGAACGTTTACGCTTCCCGCCCATGATTTCCTTGCCCCCCACGATTCCCCCTACACATTAACCCCGGAACCCCGGACACATGCGCGCTTCCGGCATGCGTACGCCGTTTATTTCCGGTGTTTCTGTTGCGGGTAGGTCCGGCAGGGGTGGAAGACGGAGCAGAAGCTCAAGCAGCCCGCCTGGGACGAGTTCCTCGCCGTGTGCCGGGTCCTGAAGAGATACGACGCGCTCAAGGACGCAGAAGTATCAACGGTGCGCGTAACGGAGGGGGGCATTCGTTTGCGACAACATCACCAGGGATTAGGCACAGGGTTAGGAATCGTCATCCCTTATTGGTTGCTACATGTAACCGTCGAATTTGTTTTTCTTTCTCTGAATATGACAAAACGGATCCATCTCTATCTACAGAAAGGAGTCTATGGTAAATTGGCCATCAATTCATAGCCTCAGCGAAAGCTTCCTATATGTCTACCGTTTCCCGAGCAGCATACAGCGTTATGTATCTGCCCCTGTGGGTAACAGGCTCAACAAGACAGTTTGGTAGACCGCTGTGTATCTCTCTGTACGTTTTGCTGGGAAGGTGTAGAAGGAAGGCGTTGGGATGGTGTGTGTTTTCCCGGCGGCTTGAGTCGCTGTCACGGTGCGGTGTCATTTCTGTCGATTCAGGACGCGTCAGGGTCAGAGGACGGCGCCGCGGCTTCCGGTGCAGCAGCAGAGAGCGGCGGCGACAAGAAGGCGGACAGCAAGAGGGGGAAGAAAAAGTGGGGCGAACCGAAGCCCACCGCCTTCGGGAGGATGGTGGGCTCGATCAACGCCGAGAACGAGCTGTGGATGGCGCTCGTGCTAACGAGGTAGGCCACGAAGTATCAAGAGTAACTCATGCATTTTTTAAGGCATATGTGACCGGAAAATATGCCTGTCAAAACACGAATGGAGGTGGGATGTCATCGTGGTTGATTTGTCTGTTTTGCAGCAGCTACTTCGCTTGACGCTTGAACGGGTATCTAGGAGGTTGGGGGGGTTGTCGCCACAAGGACTGGCCGACGTCCGATCCGGGACGATGTGTGTTGACTCCCCTCACGAAACCCTGGGAGAGAGCCCCTCGGGAGGGATGGCGTCTGTTGGCAAGGACGCTGTGGAACACGCACTGATGCCTCCCTCGCTACGTGAAACTCGAAAACCTGTATTGGATCCAATAGTGCCAAGGGATTTGGCCTGCCTTGTTGCGGGCACCCGGTGCTCTTGACGGGATTTTACGGACTTTTACAGGTCGACCGTGGCACTTCTGTGTGCCTTATTTGCGGCGACCATGAATGGTGGCCGAGTCGGATCACTTGACAGGGGCGGAGAACCGCATCCATTCAAAACCGGAGATGATCGTCCCACGTAGCGTGGAAGTGGGAAGTGGTAGCACGCCCATCGGGAAGCAACGCGGTACATCTATGACTGTCTCTGAAGTGGCGCGACCAGAAAAAGAAAATTAGTCCGAAAGCTTCATCCGTCTGCAAGGGTGGAGAGGAACGATGTCGAACACCGTTGGCAGGATGCACCTCACCCGTTCAAACGAATCGTTGAACGCATCACGTCGCTGCCCGCTTTGGCGAAAAGGCGTTTCAGCATTGCCCAGCCAATGGCACCACGAAAGGCGTGCTCCGCCCCGGCACGGCAAGGCCAGTGGTCTCATGACTACGGCTTGCATGACCGTGAGTATGCATCCTCGGCGAGACACTTACTTGAAGTTTTCTTCCCTCGTATCATGTCTCGTTCTGCTCCCGGTAGGAAGAGCATCCTCCAGCTTGGGTACACCGAGCTCGCGTCGCTGATGCCGGCCATCCTCAACGAGTACACCAGGCCCGATCTCTTCACCCTCTACGGGCCGTCGGAGGTGAGTGAGCCGAGCCGGCTGGCACTTCCTGTTTTGTGAGCTGCCTTTCTGCGTGGTGTTGGTTTCATGCTCCTAGTCTATGGTCAATGTCTTCGTTGAATTTTGATCCTCGGGATTTCCACCGGCGATTGGTGTTTTCTTCTGATTCACTTTCGTGCTGGCGGTTTTAGAATATGTACGTACAACACAGAAAGACTATTGCGATGTGAAGTCTTGACGTGTGGGTGCTTGTAGTTGTCCGGGAAGCCATGTTCCAGCGCATTGTTCCGCAGGTGTTGCGGCAGTGGCGATGCTTACAGCAACAAACATACGCCGATGACCGCGGCCGGAGAGAGCATCGGTCGAACGAGCAATGATAATCAGCGTCAAGAGCTCCAATCTGCCGGTACCAGCACGGACGGCTGTGTTTTGATGGCCCATCACTCCCTCCCATGAAAATTTCAGTTTGTTGTACCTTACTATCGCTCTCACGACGATTCAGTCAGTCTCTTCGCAATCGTTTTGCGGTTTCTCTTGCTGGACATGGTTTCCTGTTGAGTTCATTTTTCGATCGGCTTTTCCACAACGTCTTGCTCTTTGTCGTTGGCGGCGTGTTTCCCCGTGTGTCAAGTTGGTGTTGTTTGTTTCAATCCATTTTCCTGGCGTTGTTTCCGTGTTTCCCAGGGTGTGTCGGCATTCCTCGAAGAGCTCGCCCCCGTCGCGTCGGAGCTTTCGGAGATCCAGATGCTGGAACAGGTGAGAGCCCTCAAAACTAGCCAGCCCAACACTTTCCCCAGTAGTGATGCCACCCGCGTGTTGGAGCGGCTTCATTTCAGCCTTGCGAAACACTGCCACGAGGTACCCCGCCCACCGTCCATTTTCGATGTACTTGAAGCAGCGCAGTGTTTTGCCCCTTTTCTGGCATGCAGCAACGCGACAGGCCGCGTAGCGACCCGGCTAGATTCATGGGGACATCCAACCTCGAGGTTCTCTCCTCCCGAAACAACTCCTGTCTTTGGCCAAACGTAACCGCTGTAAACCTGCACGGTTTTAAACCTTTCACAGGTGGAGCAGCCCGTTCGATTAGACGGCAAGCTGTGCGGGCTTGTGGAGGGCTGGGCCAACGGGTGTGACTGGAGCGAGCTCGTCGCGAGCACGTCGTTAGACCAGGGCGACCTCTGTCGAATACTGAGAAGAGCCATGGAGATGCTCCGACAGATCCCCGTCCTGGTGAGGATAGAGGCTGCAAGCTCTTGGCCCCCATTATCCCTGTTGTGGTTGTTGTTGTTGTTGCTGTTGTTGTTGTAGAAGTCGCAATCATGATACACTGGTTCACGCCTTGTACGTAGTCCGTATGGTCATTGGAGGCACGTTCCCGATTGTTCATCCGGCAAATTTTACGTACAATTCGGCGCGCGTATGAAAACAGTCTTGCCGTCCCAGTAAGTCGCGCGCGAGTAGTTCCAAGCTTTCCAAAGCGTCCATCGCTGTTCGGCTGGTTGTACCCGACCCGTACCCGCATTTAGCGTTCGAACAGCGCCGTACCAGGTACCTGGACTATTTGCCGGGACTGAGAATATATATTTTCCCGGTCAACTCGTCGATTATCGGTATGGGATTCCGTACCAAGGTGTCCAAAGTGTTTGACATGGCTTTCGCCTGGTGTGTATGCCCCAAGTTGCACTTAGTGCGTACTGCTTGGCGAGCACAGCCTTTGATATCGAATGTCCCTTAAAAATTTGTCTCGTTTTCATTTCTATAAGTCGACTCAGTTCAAGCACAATCCTTGTCGGATGTGTCGAGCAATAAACACCGTTCACCGAGGCCTTCCATCTGGCATAAGCCCTCCTGCGTGAAGCACTGCATTCTCGACACTCTACACATTTTAGGACGCCCGTACCTACTGCCAACATGTTACCCGCGGCAGGGGTATTCATTCAGCCGGAACCTATGTGCTTCCCCCAAAGACTTTCATAGTGGCTGAATCGGGAAGCATCGTGTCTAATAATGTCTTTCAACTGTCAATTTTCCTTGGGTGCTCGTTTCCAACATTTTCGCAAACAATGTCCTCTGTGCGTACCCCCCCCATATTCCGTGTTTGGATCGCCATGTCTCTCTTCGTGCCGTTGATTCCGCCGCACCATGTGTCTCTTCGTGTGGTTGATTGTGCCGCAGCCCGGGCTTCCGGCGGTGCTCAAGGACCGCGCGAGGCTGGCGGCTGACTCTCTCGACCGCTTCCCCGTGTCCGACGACACGTCATACCTACTCAGGGCTAGCACCACCGAGGTGAACAATTTTTTCGCAGCGCAACCGGTGCTTTGTTGGTCGCTGTTGCCGGAGTGAGGGGATTTGATTGGTTGGCTTGTGGTGTGTGAGTGGTTGGCTTTGTTCTCGGACGCCTTGTGGGTTTGTTTTGGTGTCCTGGGAGGCTTTTAGCCCGAATTCGTCCCTTGTTTCGATTCTGCGTGCCCTAGCTTGACGAAGTATTTCTACTCCCGCGGAACAAGTTTACACGAGGGCGGCTAGAGTTGGCGGCTATTGCAATATAAATATTTTGCAGGAGAATGAATAAGTTTGGCGTTCTGACCCGCTGTTTTGGGGGCCTTGGTCGGGAAATGTAGGGGATCGGTGCTGTGTCAAGCTTATTTTTTTTCTGTTTGTGAAATCTCGGCCGATTCACTCTGTGCCTCCTCAAGGGACATGAGCGCGATCGAGGAGAGGTATGTGGTCCACTCGATAAGCTACGCGGTATAGTCGACGCTTGGCAAGTTTTCGCATTTCTTTTTTTTTTTTTCTGTTTCGTTCTCTTCCTTAGTGAATTACCGTTTGAAGACCTCTAATGTTGAGGGCTATCGATCTTTTTCCGGCCCCCCAAAATGTTTTGTTCGACAGCTTCTCACCGCACCCTTCTGGCCATACATCTATTCACCGAGACCACGTTTCTTGTCGTTGCTCTGGATGGGCACACGCCAGACCGAGCGAACTACGGTGACCTCTATTCAGTGTGCTCACGGCCAACTGAAAAACGAAGACTGCACGCTAGTCGACCGATGACCACACGTAAAAATACGCCTACTATCGCACGTTCATGCTTCGTATGTGCGGATGTGGTGTAACGGTTCACTACTGTAGGTGTGTTTTTCAGAGTATGTCCTCCGGTTCAGCAATCTACCTCTAGGCCTCTGCTCCGTCTCCTCTTTTGTCGGGATGTCAGGCGTTTTTATTGATATGGTCGAACATGCCGTCACCCGAAGCGACGCCCGCTCCCCCCCACCCCCACCCCCTTTTTCGGCGAGAAGGTGGGCGAGGAAGACGGAGACGTCGTAGGAGACGAGGACGAAGAAGAGCTTGTGCTGATGTCGGGGGCGGCGGCTGACGATGGTGACGTCATCGTGTCTGATGGAAGGAACATGGAGGACTTCCTGGACGAGGATGAGATCGCGGCTTGGGAGGCCGGCGGGGAGGCGGCGACAACACTGGAAGCATGAGTGTTGTTGAGGGGTCGTGGCCGTTCGCGCGCGTACTTGTCACGAAAATGTAGGGAACACGTGGCATGTACATGCACCGCCTCGGCGGAGATCAGGCACGGCGCGTTGCTCGTTTGCAGCGCACGAAGGGTCGGGGCTTGATTGATTAGACCAATCCCACGGAGGTGTGCGGTATGGTTAGGGGGAAGCACCCAACTTTCAAATGGAACGCCTTGTCGACATGGCAGGCCAAGGTGGGCACCGCTGAATTTTTCAGCTTTCAGCACACGTGTGCTTCGCCCTAGACTGAGACAAGAAGACTCGTGCTTACTTATCTTTTCGACGCTGTGATGTAGCGTCGAGGCGTTCGCTACATAGTTTTCCTTCGTGTGCAGCAAGCCACGTCCCCTGTCAATGAACTGTGACGGAAAGAGAGGCTCTGATTTGGGATGGATCTCGTGACTTGAGTGGGTCTATCTAGGCATGTGCTTGTGGCCATTCGTGGCCACAAGTCCAGGGTTGTGTGTATAGGAAGGGAGTCACGCTTTCCGGAATGATTACCAAAAGCTACCGACCTGATGGTAGCAGCCTCTCGATCAGTACCAAGTTCGAAGATGCGCGCTTGAACAGCGGTAGAGGAAGCCTAGCCTAGATGAAGGCTTGTGCTATGTAACCGTAACAGAACCCCGCTGCAGTACCCGAAGCAATCCGACCTCATGAAGAAACACACCATCATGGCGTGCCGTGCTAAGGAATTGCGTGCGACGCAGCGGTGTGTGTGGAGTCAGCACATTGGTACGCCGTCGGTTGCAAGCACAGCGACGGGAGGTGCCTCTTCTCCCTTCTCCGGATTCTTTCTTACGCGCGACCCGACAAGTGGAAAATGCAATGGGTTAGCCGATGTTCTTTGCCGGAGTCTACTGTCAGCACATGGACAATTACTGGCGAGACAACAACTTTGGTATGAAACACTTGAACCCGAGCTTGTGCGTGTGTGGTGGCAAGGGCGGCGTGCACCGCTCCATGTCGAGCTTTTCGTCTTATTTTTTCTTTCGCGAAACACAACAAATTCATCTTCCACAGAAAACAGTTCGGGATTTGATTCCCCGCTTGAAGATTGAGTTTTATGGAAGCGAACGGAGTCGCCGATGCTTTGTCACGATGACCCGTGGTGTGCTCCCTTGCTACTCACCGCCCGCCGTCGTACTTTCTTACCGCTCTACGCCCATCGGTGTTCACTCTCGTCGCCATTCCTTGCCTTTGCAGAGGATGCACTGTGTATTGAATAATTCGACAACCAAAAGCGATCCCCACCTCGCCGCATTAGCGGGTGTATGTATAAATGGGTGTTCAAGTTTACACACGATCTCCCCGAGAGAACAACCCCGCCCCAAACCCATGCCACCAGTCTGTTTGCGTCTGTTTCGCTTTGGTTCGTTGCTGGATGGGGGTGGCGATTTTTTGTCAGACTCTCCCTCTGGACATCGCTCATGTACGGTGCGGATTGTTCTGGCCTACCCTTTGGACATACGTTGCCCTGGCGGCGTTTGTCTCTACTGAACATGGACAATTTGATATGAGGTCGCACATAACTTTCCCCCGGCAAGCGATGCGTTTGTAGATGTATCATTGATTTAGCATCATTATCTCGCGACATCGAGTCTTGTCTCATTCTCCTTTCTCAGGAGCACGCGAAGGGGAGTCGTCGATACATTGCAGCCCATGCCTGAGTACCGTCAGCGATCCGTGGCACGTGCAATGGTTGCCTAAAGTCGCCGCGACTGTCTCTATTTCGCGGGGAGCAATCCCGAACGAAAACGTTGTCGTAAGGAATACAAAAACATCCTCTGTTGCACGCACACCCGGAACACCTTGGACGCCTACGCAACACACACACACGTTCCCACACACCATGCACAGCACCTGATATACATAGAGGGCATGGGCAACACCGTGATACAAACATATATAATAGCGGGATAAAGAGCAGCGGCTTTCAGTGGGGCCTGCGACAATGACACCGCGCTAGACTCTACCAGGTGTCAAGCACTCAATATAACACACACACACCAAGGGTCACGGCGAGAAAAAGAAGAGGTTTTCAGCAGGATGCGATTTCTTTCTGCAGGCGACATACACACCGCGTCGACAAAAATGAAAAAGAACGATCGGGGAGCTGTCACCACATATCCACGCAACGCCAAGCAAAAGCCATACTGTACAGCGCAAAGCTGTAGACTCGTCTAGACTAACATCATGTTTTCCACACAGTAGACACGCAACGCCAACCAAAGGACATACGGAGTACCAGGTACAACGCAACATATCTTATGCTTCTATTTGACTAGGCAAGGATCATACTTTCCCTACAAGTCCGATTCACCACAAAGTTCCGCACCACGTTCCCCATCTGTCTCTGGTGATCGAGGTCAACTGTGGACACAGGGCCAACCTCCCCCCTGTTTTCGCGCACTCACGAACAACCGAACGACTTCATTTACGAAGCTCGACGCACGACATTCTTCACTAAAAATATCACGAGTGACCATACATACATCCCATGGGACTGGCGAGCACAGCAGATATAACAGTGCACCACGTACGAAAAAAGATGGGTGCCAGGAATCGTCCTTCATGGCCCGCCATGTCAATGTGTGTGCGTCCGGTGCCACATCGACCGAGCAAGCTACAAAATATCTTCCAAAAAAACGCAGACCACACAATACAAGTAGAATGCAGATCAGAAAAAATCTGGACGCGTGTTTCCATTCACAGAATCGACGGTCGAGCAAATCCGAGAAATGCTGCGGAAGGCTCTAGGCTCGGATATTCATCTTGCTTCCAGCCTCAAGCCCTGCGTCGAGCACCAGCCTTTTTAAAAGTAGCACGAATCACCCAGGTCGGCTAGCCCGACAGATTTCGATCCACCGGTCTTGACGCCCGCATCGCCAACGCGTTCAGGTTCCGATCCACCACAAGTCTCGACGCCCAGATCGGCAAGCCGTACAGGTTTGGATCCGGTAGTAGTCTCGACCCTACCTCGAGCCACATCGAAGCCTGTGACGGGCTGTTGCTGTACCGGTTGCTTCTGTGGCCTGGGCGGCCTCTGCTGCAGAGTCGGCTTCTGCTGCCACGACTGCTGGTGCGCTTGCTGCTCTGGCCGCTGCCTCGGCTGTTGTTGCATTTTCTTCTCTGACTGCTGCGCAAGCTCCGCCTCCAGGCTTTGAAGTCTGGCCATGAGAGCGCGGACCTGCGGGTTTTCTTCGTCTTCATCGTCGTTGGGACCGGAACGCCTCTGCGGGGTCGCCGCGCTGAGTGCCTTCTTCCCCCCGAAAATCCTGGCGAACCATGGCGATTCCCGCTAGCCCGGCACAAACATATCAATCGGTGAGGCAGAAATTGTTGTTAGAGACGTGAGTAGGTCAAGTGAATGGGGGAGAACAGACGTTTTGTCTATTTCAACGTTTATTTCAAGGAACTGTTTCCTTAAAATTGTATTCCGAGATACAGCGGGTGAGGTGGATAAGAAAATGTTGGTTTGCTGCGTGAAACATTTAGTACCTGCTCATGCTCCAGCACTCACCGTCTGGTATTCGGGGGCCCGCTGTTGCTGTTGCCCGTTGTTGTAAAGCCTCGGCATGATGACGAGGGGCCGCACAACCTGCGTCGACACGGTTTCGTTGGGGAAGTAGAACCAGCGCAGGGCCTCGCCTTCCCTGTCGAGCGTCAGCCTCGGGCCGCTGACGTTCACCGTCCCCTGCCGGGCGACTTCCGCGGCGAGGTTGAAGGCCTCATCGACGAGGCCTGTGAACATCGCCGACTCCCCGTCCGTGGACAGGGCCGTTCCCGAGCTGACGTCATTTCCCGCCGGCGGCGGGGCGTCGAGGAGGCGGCGGTTGGAGAACCCGTAGCGCGCTTCGTCGAGGGTCGGCCTGCCGCGAAAGCGCGCAAGACAAGCCCGAAACAGACGAAATCGGTCATCATGACACCTCGACAAGAACACGCCGAAGACGGCACGCTGTCCTTTCTCGGCCAAACGAAGATTGTTTTCCTTCTACTGACGCTAGAGGGTGCCAGGAACGTCCATGGCCCCAGCTCAAAATCGTGGTACCTGAGGAGGAGCACGCTGAATAATTGGTACTTTCAGTGCGATTTTATTCCAAATTTCAGCAACAGTTGCGATGGTTCACCTTTTCCTGCTGTCGGTCGGCGCAGCGGACGGCGCGAAAAACTTCCACTCTGATGACTTGATGTCCGGCTGGTAGAGAGGGAGGAAGGTCGCACCATGGTCTGCCACGAACATAACCGCATCGAGAATGTACCTCGCCTGTTGTCACGTTCAGAGCAAGGAGACATTTAGTAGTCTAGACCCAGAAAGGAAGAGACAACGGCGGGTATCTGCTCCTGCAACACACGCGATAGCCTTTCTTAGTGCTACCGGGGACGTTCCATGCCTTCACCAAGGCCAATTTTTCCGCTCTAGACTTTCACCACACCAATGCCCGTTCGGTGCGGCTCTTGCAGTCGGTATGAATTCCCCGGAATTAGGGCACATCGAACCACAACACGTTGCCGAATGAACCAGTTTGAGTTAGGCACGGGCAACCCCGACACAGCTGGAGAAACAAGCCCGGCGGAACTTCAAGAGACACCGATGCTGGGGCACCAAAACGCATGAAGTGTTGCCAATACACGCTAGACTTGCCTCGGCATCAGACATGAAGAACGTCAGGCTCAGGCGGCAGAAGCCCGGCTTCATGATCCCGACGTCAGCCTCGACCTGCCTCTTCATCTTAGGGAGGGAGCTGTCCGACATCGACAGCAGCCGCACCCCGTACGGCCCCGCGCACTGACACCCGGCCCTGGCTTGGACCCCGAAGAGGTCGTTCAGGAGTGCGCACACGAAATTGTGGTGGAGGTACCTGCGAGAAAAAAGCGAAAAGTGAGAAACAAAAAAAAAGTGAGTCAACACACAAGACGGGGGGGGGGGGGGGGGGGTCATCTTCTGGATGGTAGCGTAACGGGAGTAGAACATACACCGAGGTACAAAAGGAATGGATGCACGAGTGTCACATTTTGGACGGTAAAAAATAATCGATGATCAAGTCTACGGCAACAGTGCAGAGGGACTTGGAGCGGGGTAGTTTTGCCGTGCTCCCCTGTTGCCGTGCCGTACCAAGAAGCTGAAGATGGGGAGGCGCTCCCGGCCGGTGTCTCCTAGAAAAAAGATCCGGGGGTTCGACCTGAGGGCTGTCAACCCCATGTGGGTCAGCCGTTCTTCTTTTTCCTGTGGAGGACGGAAAAGCGGCAGGGTGTGGGTAAACAAAACAGCAGCACCAGGTAATGGGCCAGTGAGCCGGCCATCGACACACAAAACGAACACGCTCGAGAGGCGCATCGTCATTCCTCCAAGCAAGCGAATTTGGTCGTTCCGTCCGGCTGTGGTACGGTAGCCAAAGTATTTTTCTACCTGTGTGTTGCGCCCTACCTCAACGCTTCCCAGCTTCTCCTTCATCTGGAACACCAGACCGAGCCTGATGGAGCCGAGAATGTCGGGGGTACCGCCTTCCTCGCGCTCCTCGATGTTGCTGGTGGAAGAGCGTTAGGCGCGAACGGCAATGCCAGCCAGGGAAGATTGTTCTAGTTAGATTAATGGTTAGGGTTAAGGAACGATGAGCCAACCACGTGTTAGCCTGGGTTGGAGGGTGTCCATCGAACACGGGGATTGTTGCCACAGAGATGATGAGAGTAGAGACAACATTTCCTCAGAACTAGATGCGGGAGTTCGAGGACCATGGATTGACAAGTACCCGAAAGTTTTGATCAGTTCGAGGTTTGCCTTGTAGTCCCGTTCGGTGCATGAAACATACGCAGAGAAGCTTGAAAGCTTCCGTTATGAGCTCTCGGCGTACGACAGCGAAGCGAACATCGGGGCAATCGTAGAATCGCTTACCTGAGGTACGTGTGACCCTTGTGGGTCACGAAGAGGACCGTGCCGCCGCCTTTTACCACCGGCGTCTTGCTCATGGTGAAGAGCTTCTTCTTGCACACCAACAGCCCGGGCGTTCCTGCGCCGCCGAGAAACTTGTGCCCCGAGATGAACACCGCGTCTTTGGCGGCTAGGGCCTGGAAGAGCAAGTGTTGACCGCACGAGTTCGCGTGTCTCTCAGGACGGAGTACCGATAGTTGGCCTCAGCATGGATACAGACTTAGCGCCTGGTTCTACGATCGTTTCGGACAAAACAAGTGGCGTGCGCTCTCCAGTAGTACTAGCAGGCAAGACGATCCACAAACACTTCGCCGAAAAGCTCGAAAACCGTCCACCGGAGAGGTCGACAGTTGGGAAAAGTGGGCAAGCTGTTCACGGGGCGAGGGAACGCATGTTTGACACACGCCTCACCTCATCGGCATCGTTGAATCCCTTGGGGTTCATGTCGATGTTCACGTACGGTGCGGCGGTGGCGTAGTCCCAAAACGACAAAGCTCCTCCGCTGATGAACGTCACGGGCGAAGGAAATTCGACAAAGGTTAGTCATGTGGCCGCCCAACCAGATGCGCTCAAACAGGAAAATCACTGCGGCGTGCGTCAGGCGCTTGGCCAAGGTTTCTGAAGCGGGAAAAGGGAGGTTTCTACGATGCGAGGGCTAGGCGGGGTACCACATCAAAATTCAGCTTGCTTCAGTCGTAGATTTGGGAGAACTCACCTGTGAAGGATCCTCGTGATCTTCTCCGTGTCTTCCATGGCACCAGTCACGTTCGATGCAGCGGCGAAGGAACCTACATACGGAAAGTACATCGACGTTCGGCGGGGTTTCGTTAATCTTTGGCATGTTCAAAGGATCACGGTGCGGTTAGGGAGCAACGAGGGGCGGCAAACAGCGGAGAGCACATGGGGAGAATCGTGCTCAATACTTACACGCTGGTGTCCATGCTACATCACGCTGATGTATGTGCACAAGGCGAGTTTGTTGCCAACGTCGACGACGGGAAAACCAATGACTTTGGGACACGATCTGGTGCATGGTTCGAGACTGAGGTCTCACTTACAACACACCGAACACCACGAACTACAGAAATCCTGCACGGTTTGCTCTCCCAGGGGCCGGCAATTGCTCACCGATCTTCAGGCGGCGGCGGGAGTACGCCTTGAGGTTTCGCTCCAGGTCTTCGAGATCGAGACCGCCGGCGGCGTTCTCGCGGATCTGACGGAAGACAACGGGGGGGTGCCAGCGAAAGGTCGTGGAAAACCAACGCCAAGAATGGGCCAAGGGCACAGTTCTGCGGCGACACTCAAAACTCGCTGGTCGATTGAGTGTGATCTTTCTACCGGGGTGTTGGGCAACCGTGGTTGTTGGCTGTCGACTTGGCCTCCTGCGGTAGGTACAGGGCAACGCCGGTAGGTATTGTGCCCGGCGCATCGATCCGGGCTATTCAGAGGGACCGGCGCCGTTCAACATCCAGAATGGCTTGGTGATTCAGCCTTGCCCAGCAATTTCACAAGCGCTAATCCACCGGCGTTATTGACGCCTCCTCTCACTCCGTACACCCATCAGCATTCGTGTTGGCTAAAAAAGAAATTCAAGTACGGTCGACGTAGAAGATGGCTTCACAAACTCGCTTACCATTACGTTATCAGTCGGGAAAAGTACCACCATAGAACGTCAAGAGCGTTAGACACCACCTACACGTGATCTTACCTGGACGACGTCGGCGCACGATTCCCTCCACGGCAGGATGTTGGAGTGGTGCTCGAAGGGCCCGATGAACACCACCGGCCTGCGGATACCAGCATATGCATCGCCCACGGCAACAGGTCGTTAAGCCACCAAACCTCCACACAGAGCAAACTAAACCTATTTCTACCAACAAGGTGCCCGCCAGGTACCACGAAATCGAACTCCATCTTCAATCAGAGCTAAATACACCGGTTTCAACGATGGGGTGCACGTCGTCTTTGGTGGTGACCTCCATGTCACCGCCGCCGCCCCGTACCTGCTGTCCGCCCTCCACGTGCGGGTCTTCTTGGTGTCGAGGTTGAGAGCGGACACCACCTTCGCAACGGCCGCGGTCGTGCCAGAGCCAGCGAAAATCACGACGTCGCCGCCGTCGTCTTTGCTGCTCCCGCCGTGCGACGATCCGCACTGAACACCCGGGATGACAAAGAGGTAGGAACAAAACAACAAAGGCAAGACACACACAAATGTTCGTCATCTTGTTACAAACCGCAGCAGCCAACGTTTTTCGTCACACCGCCAAAGGTGAATGGTGCACGCTCGCAATTACAGGTCTACACCTCCCATTTGTTGTTGTTGCGCGCTTACAAATTAGTAGCCGGACAACCCCTGGGCATGTGAGTCATGGCGGGCACACACGTACCTTGGCGTTGAGGCACCGCGCTATGATCTTTCGGGCCTCTTCGCGGAAAGCTGTCGTCTGGGCGCCGGTCTCGCTAGACGTGGTGTGAGTGTTGCCGTACCGAGGAAGGACCTCCCGGTTCATGAAGTCTTCGATCGATTTCACGGGGCGCCCGCTCGCCGTCCAGTCGGCGTCTACAACCAAGCGACGACGGAGGCGGGAAATGGTTCGGGGGGACGGAGAATGGCTCATCCGTCAATGAATATCGGTGGTATTCGTGGGGCTCGAGAGGGTTGTGCATGCGGTTGACAACACCGAGAAAAGGGGTCCGAGAACAAGAAAGCAGGAATGGGATGGCGAAGCTAGCTCGACAAAGGTAGAAAGCCCCCCGGAAAGCCTTGCCGACTGTTCTGCAACGGAAACAAGCCTATTTTCCAGGACACAGCCGAAGACAAGCGTTGCCGTCATGTTCCAAGTAATTTGGCAGTACTGTACACATTCAAACACTGTTGCGCAGACTACACCTCTCCCTTCTGCGCCGCTTTGCACCCAGCCAACATCCTTTCTTCTGCTCACGCAATTGTGTAACCTGTCGTCACCCTCTCCGGTGACATATACGGCAGGGCGTGTTCTTGCTATCTTACGGTACGCTGGAGAGAGGACATCGACTTCTGGCTTATTGCCGCAATACCATGCCGGTTTGCAAACAAAAACAAACGTCGGTTTGTCAAGATCTATACCACAGATGAATTCTTAATCGGGTGAACCTGTGGGGTCAACTCACAGACAAGTGGCTTTGAGCCGAACGGCGTTTGAACCGGGGCGAGCCTCCCGATGAGGTTGTTCCGGAGGGCACCGCAGGCCGTGTCGAGGGTGGGGGTGCCGCCGTTGTTGAGCGATGAATGCGCGGGGACTCGAGCGACGGGGTTGGCGTGCTGCCGAAAGCCAGCTGCCGGAAGGCGTTGGGTGTGGCTCGGCTGCGCCCCCCGCTGATTGCTCGTTCGCAGCCCGGAACCATTGTCACTGTTTCCAGCACCCTCTGAGCAGCTGTTACTGGTGTCGGTGGCGTCAACATCGGCAAGGGTACATTCATTCGTGGTGCTCAGCGGCAGAACGTTCTACAATAATATATCCAACGGTGCAACATGAGGTGGACCGAGACATCGCAAAACACAATTTTTCCACACATAGACTACGCATGAATAGGACAGATCAGATCCCAAGAAGATCGAGCTAGCTCTTTCGGACGGCGTGTCCCTTGTGTATGATATCCCGAGGTGCTCTAAAGGACATTGGCGATACGAGATGTTTGCTCCCTGGTGATCTGAAGGACGTACTGTAATCGGTGATCAGTATTATTTATTTCCGAGGTGGTTTGTGAGACATCGATGATCTGAGTATGTTTTCTCCGAGTAAGTAGGTGAATCTGAGCATGTCTGCTCCTACACTGCTGATCTGTAGTGACGTAGATGAGCTATGTCGCCTATTGTATGACCTGTCCCCCATGTGAAAATACATGTAACCAAACAAAATCCCCTTCGCCAAGTAATTTTATACCCGCCTGCGGACCTGTGCCCCTGTGTCAGGGAAAATCGATGGAGATGATCTGTAAAATCTTAATATTCTAGCGGCCATAGACTACCGCTGTACCATGGCAGGAATATCTTTCATCTCCACCTCAACAGGGAGGCGCCAAAGCGCAACAAGTTGGTTTCTTGTTGCTCCTCTTACAAAACACGCGAAATGGCATGTAAATATGTACCAGAAGGATATCTTTGGGTACGCTGTGGTTGTGCGACACATCGCAAAGCCTGTTTGTAAGGTTCGTGGAAGAAGAAGTATGTACAATACGGTGCAGGAGTACCTGTACAGGATGAGTGATACGGAGAACATACCTTATTATCATACAGCGTCCCCGCACACGAGAAATAAATGCGCGTAAAACGCGAGGTACGCCCCCTCGCGGGACGCGTGCGACAGGCGGAAGCATGTGATGATCGCCGGGTGATTGTCATCATACTTTTGACCCACCAACCTGGTGTGTCCGCGTTCGCTATTGAGTATGACTACTGCTACACAGAAAAGGTTTTGCTGCTGCTGTTGTTGTTGGGATGCGGCAGTTCTTTACGCGTGGGTCTCCTGTAGCTGCTTCGATAGAGTGCGCATTTGCATGATGTAGACAAACAAGGATGCGTGGGGTTGTTGCTGGTGTCTGTCACATTTGATGCACGAAAGCAACAACGGGACGCCGCGCTGGCACATTCGCTAAGACGAGATTATTACTACTGCTGTAACGAATAGCGACATCATCGTCGACTACAGTATGTAGTGGTGACGGCTCTGGTCCTCTACAGCAGCAGTACAAATATTTGTCGACTGAGCCAACGGAGCGTGTGCTTTTTTTCTGGGATATTTTTTTAGCGCACGAGATGTCGTTACGACACAAGTAAAAATTACATATTTCAACCAAAACCGTGATCGCGCGGCGGCCTTGGCGCATGTTGACGTTGTGGGCGTTTTAGCACACTGCTGTAGATATCAAGATCCCTGTTCGAGACAAGCATCCGCTTGTAGTACTCGCACTGGAAGGACCCACCACAACCCTTTGTCACCATTAGTTCTTGCCTACCTGAAGCCGGATCCTGTTGGGGAAGGCGAAGCGGACGCCGTGCGTGGGTCGAACATAGTCGATGCAAAGCCTTGTCGCGGACCGACCTTAGCGGAGTAGTTCGTTGGCGGCGGTGCCTCCAGGTTCCTACTGAAAGAGCTTGTCATGGCCACCGCTGCAAGGGATATCCTGCGCCACCGGAGCACCTGTTTCAGCAAGGAAACACGGGTGTATCTATGGGAATTGAGGGTGCAACTCTGAGTTGCACAGGAACGTGCACGGCCTGCTGTCGAAACATTGAAAAATTGCTGCACCGCGAGTTAAGACGAAACTTCGGGGCGTTCCCCAGAGAATAAGTAACAACAGCAGTGTAGGCGAGGAATCTACACACGGACGGGTGGTGATAACTGTCGGGGTGTGCTCGATCAACTTGTGGGTGGTATACGCGAGACTTCAATTCGAGGTCTCGGTCAGCCATGTGGCTGTCCTCCATCAAGTTATCCTCTCACACACCTTCTCCGCAGCATGTGTACAGCAGCAGCAGTACAGCAGTAAACCACACCAACCAAGACAACAGAATTTAGGGACCGCGTCCGGGTTTTGGGAACGCGCTTCCGGCGAGCTACGCAGGATTGACGATGGTTGTGTGGTTGATCTACTCTCATTCACTCACGTGCTGCTGCTTGCTGCTGAATGATCGCGTTGGTCCAAGAGCCTAGGCGCTTCAGACCTCTTCGAACGGGATGAGATGGCTAGTGGGACGGCTCTCGTGGGCGCTGGTGCGCCGAGAAAGACTCAACAAGCTACGATTGCACGGTATTTAAAGAAGATTTTTACGATCGGCTTCTGGTGGTACGAAAAGGTTTCCAGCACTTGGAACATGCGGGATAACCATCCGGATTGGGTGATTGGGTGCGGCACGTAAGATATCATATCCCCCGCCGGACTGATTTTAAAAGCCCGATTACTCCACAGGGGTGAGAACGATTGCTTCAAATACGGTGGCGTTGGAATTGTCTTGCCGAGGGATTCCTCAAACGTATCCTTTTGATTCGTATATATATATCCTCTTGGTCGTGGAAATATCGAGCGATGCGAATCGGTCGAGGGGGTGTGATATCTTGCGTCGGGAGGTACAAGAGTCGCCCACTGCTGTCCACAAACGCGGGGTGTCATCACATCACTTTTTTCAGAGAATAATAATTCTGGTCGGGCCAATGGTCGGGCATGACCATGGAACTCGATGAGAAGAATCCATTGGGTGCTGTGTTGGTCGCTGATTGTGGTAGGTTCGCAAGTTCGTGGTCTGCACATCAAGCACACAAAGGGCGCGTTTGCACGCAGTTTTTCGACGATCGATCACAAGTAGTTCGAGCACACCCACGCCTTACCGTCGGTCGCGGATTGTAGCGCCTGCTAGTAGTAGTCCGTTCCCACGAGGTCCTTGCTTCCAGGTCCTCCACTCAAGAGCCAGCCGCAACCAGCGCTTGACGTGTCGGGCGAACGCCGGGAGTGGCACCACCGGAACCACCGCTGTTGCCAGGTATGTAGAGCACGCAATTTTTTTGTCCCGCTCGGCTCAATCAAAAAGGTACGATGGCGCCGTGGTTGGAGTCGCAATGGTACATACAGCAGTACAATAATTTTCTGGTTACCAGGCCCATGGACACCTCTGTCTACCAGGTACAGCACGGTCGGCTGCGGCCAGAATGAAGAAGAGAAATGGAGAGAACGACGGACATGCTCCGTTTTATCATGCGCGAACGACCAGCAAACGGCAAAATAATAGTGCTGATGAAGAGACCGTCCTAGACTATGTCAAAAGCCATAGCATAGTCTAAAGAGTAGATATGCGTGCAAACAAATCATTTTATCTTCAGCCTTTGATATTTCTACGGCTGCAATGGGTCGTGTCCAACAGCTGCCCGCCAGCCGCAAGAAATGTGTGCTGCTATCTTCAGCGTCTGTTTGATCATACCTCTGCCGGGCATGCCGCTCGCTGTTGTGTTCGGATATGTCTGCCTGTTGAACTACACACAGACCATGTACTCGAATGCTTCTGATATTTATACATGATTCTTCCGTGTAAGTATCGCGTTTGCGGAGCTGGTGAAACAAAACCGCAGGGGAGCAAACTCGAGCTTGTATGCGCGCCCACCCGTCCGTCCGTGTCGCACACACAGACCTCACCGTAACTCCGCCCCATAATAATGCCATCACTGTGTACATGTTCCCGTCGATACGCCGACAAATAAAACGTTCACGTTTTTCATCACATTGTAGTCATCACGGACATCCTCTCCCGCGCGAGTGAGTCTACATGTAGGATCGTCTGTGCATAAAACCGCCTGAAACCCCGCTGGAATTGGTACAACCGAGACGAAAGTACGTGCATCCTAATGTTTGTCGCTTTCGCCCTAGAAATATACCAGGAACCCCCGGATCATTTGTTGTGCCCAGCGCTATCATCTTTCTCTTTGGTGCACTCGAGAGACACGAATAGTATCATCGCCTTTGCGTGCTGATGATGACGAGGTTAATTAATTTAATCCTTCATACGGAGTACAGTAGTATTCACCAGCAGGTTCGTTGATTTTTCTGCATCATTTATTTTTGGTGGACGAAGAGACACGACACGCATTTACAAGTAAATACGTCCCGTAAAGAACTCCCCGTTGGGAGTGCGCTGGCTTACCGGCCGGGGACGACGCAAGAGGACATGGCCAATGTCGTCACACCTTCATTTCGTTGCGTCTCAACGTTCGGCAGTGAGTGCCGGTTTTTTTCCCATACAACTACCAGAGTTTTCGTCAGATGTAGTGTGCGGTCACAGATTGTGGGGGTCATGTCGGGGTATTTTTCTCGCGTGCGCGATGTGTGTGTGCTTTTTGGCTCGCGGCATTTTTGCGACAGGTCCTACTGCGGGAACCCGCTGCGTTTGATCGCTCGCTCTTGTTGTTTGTACCGTGTTGCTCATGGTCATTTTTTCTTTTGTTTTCTCCCATCATTGGACTCTATCGTCTGCCCCTCTGGCCCCCATCCTCCACTTCCACTAGTTTGACGACCCAA